AGAGCGGCGCTACGGGACCAACCGGCAGCGCCCCAGCTGCTGTACCACAGGCGTCCGGAGCAAAGCCCTGGAGCACGCGGGCAGCGGGACAGCCCAGAAGCGCCGCGGCTGTCCCGCTGCCGGTGTCCTCAGAGGCTTTGCTTCCCGTCTCCCTGGTCTGCTGGTCTCCAGCAGACCAGGGAGACGGGCAGCAAACCCCGTTCGTAACTGCGGATCCGACGTAAGTCGCATCCACGTAACTCGAGGACTGCCTGTATATAAGACAGTCCTTTGCCCCTAAGAGATTCCTTCTTTCCTTGGTGACTTCCACAGCTATAATGCAACTTACAATGCCATATTTAGGTGTTATCAAGTGTCCAGCATATCTGACTACAGCAGATTTTTCTTTAAAAAAGACAAAATTTGTATCATCTAGAGCAGGGCTACTCAACTTTGGAAGTCTCGAGAGCCACAATGATGCTCACAGGACATGCCGAGGACTGCAACTAAAGTGTGGTTGTAAATACATGCAAATATATATGCAAATATATGCAAATAGATTCTTTCACACTGATGGACATGAATACAAAGCACTTCCCACAATGCCCTGGCCCTCCCGGCACCTCCTCCTTGGGGGCTAGAAATGCCAACACCCTCTACCCATCTGTTCCATCCAGCCCATTTGCTTGCATCTTTCAGTGCTCACTCTGCCTGGGAGATGTCTCACCTTTGTGGAGCATGTTCCCAGTGAAGGCCATGTTCAAAGGGTCCCACCAGTGGGCCGCATGTTGAGCCCCACGTAAACCCAAACTGCACCATGGGCCACAAACAAATGGGCCGAATGTTGAGTAGCCCAGATCTAGATAGCTATCTGATCCCCCAACCTGTGACCCCTGCAATAATAATGTCCCTTTTCTCTACCTGCAAAACAGTGTCCAGAGCAGGAGAAAATGTTTTAAAAAGCAACAAGAAACTTTGCCTCTGGGGTTGTCAGTCTTATGTTTTTACACATGCACTAATTCACATACATTTAGAGAGAGAAAATGAGTGCCTACCAGATGCTCTCTTTCAGAATAAGAGAAGCACAGCTCCTCATTTCCAGCCGAACTGCCATGCCTCACACTGGGATTTCTGTGGAATGCTGGTGACTTGCATGCTGTAGAAGCTTCAATTGATTTTTATGGAGCTAGAGATCCACAAATTACCTCTAAACATATTTGTACAGTCAACTTTCCCAGTGTGTCCCCAATAAATAAGACAGCACTTGAGCCTGAGAACAAGGAGATCTAGTTAATAATGGCTTGGCCGGGTTTCTTTACACCTGCTGGCAAATAGAGTGAATAAAGGAATATTGCACCATGCCAGCCCCCTCCTGCAAATATATTCTTCTTCCAAGTCCCTTTCCCCAGACAAACTCTCCCTGACTGGTCCACTGCCAATACTACATGTGCATGGACTTCCGATGCTGATTGACTGCCAGGACCTTCTCAAGTAGCCGGCTCCAGATGTTAAGAATACACATCTACCCCAGGGCTACGTCTAGACTGGCATGATTTTCCACAAATGCTTTTAATGGAAAAGTTTTCCATTAAAAGCATTTGCGGAAAAGAGCGTCTAGATTGGCATGGACGCTTTTCTGCAAAAGCACTTTTTGTGGAAAAGTGTCCGTACCAATCTAGACGCGCTTTTGTGCAAAAAAGCCCCAATCGACATTTTCGCAATTGGGGCTTTTTTGCACAAAACAAATCTGAGCTGTCTACTCTGGCCCTTTTGTGCAAAAGTTTTTGCGCAAAACGACTTTTGCCCGAACAGGAGCAGCATAGTATTTCCGCAAGAAGCACTGATTTCTTACATGAGATCGTCAGTGTTCTTGCGGAAATTCAAGCGGCCAGTGTAGACAGCTGGCAAGTTTTTCCGCAAAAGCACTTGCTTTTGCGGAAAAACTTGCCAGTCTAGACACAGCCCATGTGTATTACAAAGCAGATACAGTGACAGATCAGTGTTGTGCCTTCTTTATTTGGCCCTTCAGATGATAAATCTTCTAAACTAAGAATACATTGTCTTATCTATGGGGAATCAATCCTTTTATAGCCCCCATTTGGTTCTTGCTTGGAACTGACCAAGCACAAAATCTAAGCACTTGTGTAATTCACCAGTCAGTGCATAATCACTTCAAGAGAAACACAAGCATCTCTTATTCTGAAGTGGTGCGCTTCCTCCACACGAGGTCTAGCCCCTGATAACACCAATGGGGAGAACTGCATATAAATATTTTAAGGCATTACTAGAATAATGTCCAGTGGTAACTGTATAAATGCAGCTCAGTATGTGTGACATTTTATTTCATTACCACCATGTGCAATGAGCATTCACCTGCCGTTACAGATGGTGGGCTACAGGCTGCAAATCAAGCATCTCGCTGAGTCTCAGAAGTATATTTTCCTTTATGTAGAGAGAACCACAGAGGAAAATGACATCAAAGATCAGGGGTGTCTGAAGTTTAATTCTGGATCAGTACCCCACAACCATCTCTTATATCCATAAAGGACTGAATCAAAATGTGAGAGCCAAGCCCCCCCATTTAAAGCAAATTTAAAAATCATGTTTCAGTTTTACAGCTCAGGCCCATTTTTGTTTAAAAGCACTAGATGCCTGTACCTTTTGTTGCAAAGGGCCTCAGGCCTGAGTTGGATGCTGGGAAAACAGCTATAGGTTATTCATTCTTTTTAATCTAGACCTTTGTTTTGTGTCTATTGTTGTCTGAGCTGATGGCCATACCTCTTTAGAAGTAGGTTGAAAAGCATCTTGTAAAGAAATCTTTGCAGGGGTTTTTTTTTTAAGGGAGGGATGTTTATACAAAACCCACAACTTATCAAGAAACAGACAGCAAGCTGCCTGTGGAATTTCTGCTTCACAGAAATTATTCA